GGCTCCCTGCTCAGCGGGAAGCCTGCTTCTCCCTCTCCCACTCCCCCTGCTTGTGTTCCCTCTCTCACTGTGTCTCTCTCTCTGTCAAATAAATAAGTAAAATCTTAAAAAAAAAAAAGAATACCTCTAGCCACCCTTAATATTTCTGTTATGGAAACTAAATCCCTTGCAACTTAATTCTGATACTACATACCTAAAACATAGGTAAACAAATACATACACATTAGATATATATATATATATATATATAAAACACAGGTACCTATATATTCTGATTAAATTGCTGAAGTATATTTTCTATTACTGTTACATATCACATATGTATGGAAACATTAAATGTCGCAACATATGTCAAAGTACCTTGTGAAAGATAAACCACAAGGTAGTACTCAGTAAAGATTTTTTAATGGATGGCTAAAAACTTGCTTTAGAAAATCTGTTCAGAACCAGCTCATAATAGCTGTTTCGTGAATACCAGTTGAATTAAAACACATTTACTTCATTTCTGTTTTATCCTCTATTCCCAACACCAGTGGTTTGTTTTAATAAAATCTTCTTACTTACACCTATATGTACTCAGCCCTGCTGGGTGCCGCACCGTCCTGGGCTATAATGAGAAAAAGCACACACTGTGCTCGCCTGCCCTGGGGGAGATTACAGTAAGTGAAAGTATATTTGCAAGCCTAACTCTCTAGTGTGAAATGCAAGATGTGAGATTTTGTCACACAGAGGACCCCTAACCACCTTTACATAATAAGTATAAAAATCACCCCTGAATTGGTGAAAATATCCAACAGATGCTTCTGAATTAGATTCCTCTTCTTCCCTTTCTAGACCTACCAGCATTCAGTCTCTACCTTTAACAGTGCTTTAAACTTAATAAACACATCACAAACATTTGTTAAGGAAAGTTTTTCAGATAATATGTTCACACACAATACAAGTGTATGACAGCTTAAAATTTGTAAGTTAATTTATTGTTAATCCATGGTCAGTAAATTAGTATTGTATTTCTAACTTAATGGCTTTCTTTCCTTAACAGTCTCCTTGAGGCATCCTAGTATATCAGAAGTGTTTTATTTTTTTAAAAGATTTTATTTATTTATTTGTCAGAGAGAGAGAGAGCGAACACAAGCAGGGGGTGCAGCAGGCAGAGGGAGAAGCAGCCTCCCTGATAAGGGGCTGGGTCCCAGGACCTTGGGATCATGACCTGAGCCGAAGGCAGACAATCAACTGAGCCACCCAGGCGTCCCTATCAGAAGTGTTTTAAATGTGGATTCTGGAGCACGATTTTACAAGTTGGCGTGGTTTATTTACTTCAACAGTGTTACCACACATCATTTTCTTTCTTGGGTGCCACTATCAATTTATTAATGAGTAATGTGCTAAATGCTAAAACCTCATCATAGGCACTGTTTGCTGATTTTCTGGTTATTGACGGATATTGATAGTTACTGCTTTGAGGGCATAAGTAAACACGTACAGAGTATCCTCACAAAGCATCCTAACTTACAAGTCTAATTGCTGACAATCTGAACATTGTTCTTTTCTTTTCTCTACAGATTTTAAATAACCTCAGCATGGTTGTTAAATCAGGGGAAATGACAGCTGTGGTAGGATCCAGTGGATCCGGGAAAAGCACAGCCCTGCAGCTTATTCAGCGTTTCTACGACCCCAGTGAAGGCATGGTGGGTGTCTTCCAGAAGCCTCTCAATACATGGGGATGGGAGAGTGCAAATGGGGATATATTGGTCAAGCACAAAGGCCTAGTGTACACAGAGACCGTCCTGACGCACACACAGTTGACTTACTGAGTTTTTGACTGAATTGACTGGACTGATTCCCTGCACGGTGGTCGTGTTCATTGAACGACCAGCCCGTTCGCTCAGTGATGTGCACACACATTCAAAATGGTATTGCTGCCTTGTCAGTGAATTCGCATTTCCATTTCCTTCTTTGTATTGTAACAAAATCATTACTGTCTCTTCAAGTTTTCCAAACGCTAAGTATAGGAAAGGTTGCATGGCTAGAATGAACAGATTGATGACTGCTTTGAGAATTTAGGTTTTAAAGACAAATCATATAATTTCACCAACTACTTCGTCTCTTTTTTCCTTGTGTGTTTATTTGCCTATAAACATAGACTGAAACTAAGAAAATAAATATCCATCATTGCCATTTGTTTATCACATATGTCAAGTACTTTATGAAGATGATTACTTATTTTCAAAAATGAGCCCCAAGGTATATATGCTCATTTTATGAAAAGGAAGCAGAGTCAGAGAGGTTGAGATTTGCTCCCGATTTGAACCCAGGGCCCTGAGATGTCAAAGGCTCTGCTCTTTCTACGCTCTCAAAGTCATTCTTGTCAACATCTCCTTGATGCTTTGAGATAGAATCATCTGAGTATATATCAAGTGGCTTCAATGCAAGGTGTTCCCTGTCATGGGAGCACTGTTACAGTGACATGACAAACGTAATGGAATGTTTCTTTGTTATGGACAGTTCATCCTACAGGTATTCTTTGCTACATACCAGCATAACTATACTCTGACTACATAGAAATCATGGTCTCTTGATGTAAGATTTTTACTTTTTTTGCTAATAGTGATTTTTGCTTATCCCACTTACATTTTCAATTACTTTTGAACAGCAAAGTTCTATTTGATGAATCTGGCCAGAAAGTAAGAGTTACTTTAAAGCATACCTACAAGATAGGGACCATTTCTTCTTTTCTTTGTAGCTTTGAAGTCCATTTTAGGTCACAAGTCAAACGATAATAAAAATATATAAAGTATGGTGAATAACTGACTTGACCCTATTGAAGAATTAGATTTTTTTTCCCATTCCTGGGCCAATCATATTACATTAAATGACCTTTACATCATTTGTGTTTTTACAACGAATTGTTCTACAGCTAGACTTGATTTCAACTATATATCATCACTCCTCTATAAACAACCTCATTATGGGAGGAATTATTTCTGTTATAATCCTGTGGGTTTCTATTATTTCTCCCCATAGGTCAAGTAGAACATAACATTTTGATTCAGAACCCTGAAGGGTTCCAAGAGATGTGACGTTGTGCTTATGGTCTCTAGGTGACTTTAGATGGCCATGACCTTCGCTCTCTTAACATTCAGTGGCTTAGAGCTCAGATTGGGATGGTGGAGCAAGAGCCCGTTCTGTTCTCTACCACCATTGCAGAGAACATTCGTTATGGCAGAGAGGACGCAACGATGGAAGATATAGTTCAAGCTGCCAAGGCAGCCAATGCCTACAGCTTCATCATGGACCTGCCACAGGTACCCCTAGCCTCTCATCCCGGGGTGGGAGGGGGAGCAGAACTCAGAAAGTTATAAAAGGAAAAAGAAAAAGTTACACGATACTATACATTTCTTTCCATTTGAATCCCAAATCATTAAATTCTTAATGCCATGCTAGGTTTCATTCCTGGAAATGTACCATGAGTGTTCCCCTTTGCCTGAAAGCATATTGTTGTTGATATATTAAAAATCTACAAACAGGGGAACTTTCTTTTAAAAGCTCCCCTTGACAGAGGTACAATCTTCTTACTCCATCTGTTGAGAATTTGCCTAAGCAATTGATAAATTTGTTATGTGGCAATGACTTACACAATGTTCATTGATGTCTACCAATGTCATTGTTCTTTCATTTTCTTGGGCTTAGGCAGCTAATTCTGTGGCCTCAGTACTGTATCTCGCATATTCAAAAATTCTTCATTTATCTTCATTTTAAACAACAATGACAACAAAAACCAACTCCATATTATTACACTTATACGTATTTTGTGGCTGCTAAGTCAAATGGTCTGCTAAGTCAGAGAAGAGCTGTTATTACCAGTTAACATATGTATAGTGCTTACTACCTACCAGACACTGTTCTAAGCACTTTACATCTCATTTAACTCTCACGACCATCCTGTTGGCAGCTACTGTTATTATTTCCATCTGTGAAGAGAGAACTAAAGTTCCAAGAGGTCAGATAACTTGCTCAAGGCAGGAGAGTCAAGATTCACACTCAGGTGGTCTGGCTCCAGAGTCTGTGCTCTAGATCATTTCCTATTCAGCTTTCTAGATTACCTGTGTGAATAGGATTGCAGCTGTGAGTATGATATAGTCCAGTGGTAAAGAGTATAAAGCTTTGGAATCAGACTGCCTTCATGAAAATCCCAGCTTCTCCATTTGCAAGCTCTATAAACTTGGGCAAGTTACTTTAGCCCCTTACACCCCAGCATTTCCTTACCCACTGATTGAGGAGAACAGCAGTACCTGCCTCATGGGGCATCTGGGAGGACTAATGAGGTGATATGTGTAAAGAACTCAACTTCATGCTTTATACATGGTAAATGCTCAACTCATGTTGGATAATAATAAACAAGACAAGAGCCTGACATCATTGTGAGATTCCAATATAATGCTAAACATGAAAGATACTCAGTAACTTTTTGCTGTCAATGGTAATGATTGTACAGCTAGCTTGATCTTTCATTTGTAATATAGATACAGATTTAATATTGTGCTTTTCTGTGTTGCTTAGCTAGAGAAAAGAGGGAAGAATTTGATAGGTGCTTTAACCCTTTAAAATGGGTTTTCAGGACCCTGATCAACTTTTACTTTGGTGGAAACATTTTTTTTTTTTTTTAAGTAGGCTCCACACCCAGTGTGGTGCCCAACACAGAGCTTGAACTCAGGACTCTGAGATCAAGACCTGAGCTGAGATCAAGAGTCGGATGCTTAACCAACTGAGCCACCCAGGTGCCCCTACTTTCGTGAAAACATTTTATTTGAAGTTGAGCTATAGAGAAACATTTATACAGCCCAGTGAACCTGGGAATGAAAGAATAAATTAGTTTCTTTTTTTTTCTTTCAAAGATTTTATTTGTTTATTTGGCAGAGAGAGAGAGAGAACACAAGCAGGGGGAGTGGCAGAGGGAGAGGGAGAAGCAGGCTCCCAGCTGAGCAGGGAGCTCGATGTGGGGCTCCATCCCAGGACCCTGGGATCCTGACCTGAGCCAAAGGCAGATGCTTAACTGACTGAGCCACTCAAGCGCCCCAAGAATAAATCAGTTTCTTTATCTTACACACAAATATTGATCAGACAGTAACCTGTTTCAGGAAAGGGTATTTCTTTCAGTGAAAGTTGGGCCTGTGAAAATTCATGCTTGAGAAGGGAGCTAGAAAGGATCTTGTAATGATCACTGCCAGGAGCCATCAAATTGTTCGTCTTCATTATCAGTGTCACCTTCTTCCTAGCAATTTGACACTCTTGTTGGAGAAGGAGGAGGCCAGATGAGTGGTGGCCAGAAACAAAGAGTGGCCATTGCCAGAGCCCTTGTCCGAAACCCCAAGATCCTGCTTTTGGACATGGCCACCTCGGCACTGGACAATGAGAGTGAAGCCACGGTACAAGAGGCACTGAGTAAGGTCTGTTGAAAGTCTGAGTTCATTTTACAAGACCATGTGGAAATGTGCTGTAGGAAAGGCAGCTCACTGAGAGAGGAGGGAGAGGGAGAATGGAAGGATGGAGAGGGGGAGGGAAAGAGAAGGACTACATGGGTCAGTGTCTCCAGTCTGACTGTTTAGAAAATACTGACTAGACTGTTCCTCACAGTTGAATAGAAGTCAGTATGGCTTGCTTCCAAAAGCTACAGATGCAAAATTTTCAATCTTATTAAATCTAACTTATAATATGTGATTTCAAGAATTTCCATTTTGCTTTTAGCTGTTGATTAATAGCAGCAACTGGACCAACGTGTGGGGTGTTCATGACCTTGATAAAGTGCACTGGCCTTTTCTAATATCTGTAGAGCGCCTATTTGAGGATTTTCCCAAGGACCCAGGCTCTGATTACTTGTGGATTCTGAGACCATCCAAATGTCAATGTCAGCTCTGTCTTACTGTTTGGTTAACAGTGCACTGTACATTCTTACAGATTCAGCAGGGACATACGGTCATTTCGGTTGCTCATCGCCTGTCCACAGTCAGAGCTGCAGATGTCATTATTGGTTTTGAACATGGTACAGCAGTGGAAAGAGGCACCCATGAGGAACTGTTGGAACGGAAAGGAGTCTACTTCACTCTAGTGACTTTGCAGAGTCAAGGCAATCAGGCTGCTAACATAGAAGGCATAAAGGGCAAGTGTCTTTTCCATTACACTTGTACATTCTGTAAAACATTATGTTTGTTAGCTCTCATAGTTTCGTGGATTTCTATACATTTTAATAAACACCGTCTTATTTGTTCCCCCAAAAGCCCTTGGAGGCATTATATAGATGATAAGAGAAAGAACAAAATCTCAGGAGGTTCAGTTACTTGATCAAATCAGAGAGCTAAAACCCAGGTTTTGTGGGGAAGATGATTTTAATGCCAACCCCCTTGTTCCCCCCTCCCCACTTTGCAAATAGGAAAGCCTTCCTAGAGTGTCCAGCACCCAGTAGGACCTCTATTCTTGCTGATTGAGTAAATTAATCAGTGACTAGACACTGTAATGCTTATTTTCACTAAAGCAAATAGCAAATAGATACATCAGGCCCTAGTGCATCCTTTTTTTTTTTTTAGTTTGAATTTTCAGATTTGGTAACTTATCCCAACTTACATTAACCAACCACCACTTCAAACTTCCTCTACCATACCACATCTTGATTTGTGAACTCCATTGGGTAAAACTACTGTCTATATTTAACACATGTGATTTCTTCTGAAAAGATATATATATTTTTAATTTGGTGAATCTACCATAGAAATGACCTCTAGTGGGTTTCCCTTCAGTTTTTATGATTCATTCTATCAGATATCTATTTGTTGGAGATAACACAGGGGGTATCACACAGCTCAAAAAATTCAATCCTGCTGAGTATTTTTTTAAGTTTATTTATTTATTTATTTATTTACGTAATCTCTATGCCCAAGGTGGGGCTGGAACTCACGACCCCATGTCCAGGAGTTGCATGCTCTTTGGACTGAGCCAGCCAGGCACCCCCTGCTGAGTATCTTGACATTTTTTTGTTGTTGTTGTTAGAATGTGCTGGATAAGTGTTAAATTTTATTTGCCACAATGAAGTTAATAGAATGTTTTAGCATCAGACATAGTAATGATAGGCTAGGCAAGCATAGTAAGAAGTTTTCTTTTGATATGGTTCTCCTTATTGTATACACTAAGGAATCGTTCATGTTGTGTTGAATAGGAGAAGATAAAACTGACCGGGCCTCACTTGACAGCAAACAGACCTTTTGCAGAGGGAGCTACCAGGCTAGTTTAAGGTAAGCTGAAGCCATGGGGCAGATTTTAAGGTTTTAAAATATTCTTAGGAGCCCTCTGCACTTATGATCCTCAGGCAATATCTCAGGTAAAACCAGGATAGCCTTGAGCATAGCCCCAGGTTTCATGTAATATGAACATGCAAACGAATCCTTAGTTGCTATATTGACATTTTCTGTTTCCAGTTCATGGGGATTTTTTTTGTTTAACTTTGGCTTCTTATCTTATTGTGGGTAGGGTCATGATAGAGATGCTTTGTAATTAAAATGTTGTTAATTGAGCTTGAAAGGGTATTTAAAAAATCTGTTTGGTCTTGTCCCCTAGATCTAACCATGGAATAAAGCATTGTTTTACATGGAGGTGAAGTTCATGGCTTTAGGTCCATTCTTTCACTTGCTGAGCTGCAGTTGAATTACAAATATTCCTGCTTCCAGAGTGACCCATCTGAATTCAAATCATTCCTTAACTAGATGAAAAAAGAAGTGTATTTTTTTAGCATTTGAAAAGATTTTCCTTGAACCCCAGCTATTTATTATTTTTGTGGATGAATATAGGGGTATTGACTTTCAAACATATTTTTGGAATATGCTATTAACAAGACTGTAAATTTTAGTCTTTCATCCTGACTTAAGAGTTTCAGTAAAATAGTTCCTTTAATGTTAAAAGTCTGCATATTAAGAAGAATTCTGCCCAAGAGTATCTGTCTCTCTTCATGAAGATACTACTTAAGATTTTTTTCCCTAAGTTAGGAGGCTGTTCATAAACAATGGTGACAGCAGATTTCCTTACTGTTGCCTTTACCATTTCTAGGATATTTAATTCAAGGCTGTACTCTGGGCAAAGGCTCAGTTATAAGACTTGCTTTTTCAAGGTAGTATATTGCTTATTGAAAACTGGTTTAAAGAGGCTTAAAATAAAACATTTAGGTAACAACTCCAAGTAATTCAAACACAGATTTATCTTTAATATTCAAAGAATAATGTATAGAGTTCTTGAATCACTGTGTTGCACACCTGAAACTAATATAACATTGTATATCAACTATTCTCAAAAAGAAAAAAAAGAATAGTTCACTGAGCTTATTATGCTTAGAGTTTTTATTTTTCCTTTTGAGAATAAGTCTATTCATAAAAATTTCAAGAAATGCTGGTTTTATTAAATTTATTGAATTTGGAAAATAATAAAGCAATAACTTCGAGTTACTCTGTAAAGTAAAAGCTAAAAAAAATTGCCAAAATTATTAGGTCATTTTTATAGATATTAGGCATTATGTTTAACCATGCTTCTCTGATCGGAGGAAAAAAATTATAAGGGTCATTAGAATCACAATCTGAAGCTACTGACTACCTTCTTAAACACAGAAAATGGCTAGGCACCTCTTTTGATTACTGGGCCAAAGGTTGCAAAAAGGAAGTGATATACTTCATCATCATGTCAACAAGAAAATAAGTATTTTCTTAACTTTTCAGATGAACAAAATTCTACTTGTTCTAAGTAGTTTAGTTACAGTTTATTATTAGGACCAAATAATCATTTTTAATATAAACATTTCCTATTTGGCTATTAATTCTCACAAATTCTACATTTTGGTGACTAGGATGAGAAATCCAGAAATACAATCTATACCCAGAAAGTAGCTATTAACCTCCTGCAGAGAAAGATTTATAAGTTTAAGTAAGAAGGTCTGTTAAAAATATCTCATTGTGTATGCTGACAGATTTTTTTGCTAAAAGATGACTAAATTAAGTGTTAATTTATATCTTATTTCCTTGGCTTTGGTGTTTCTGACAGCTCAGTCTCTCTTTAGTAATATATTTTAGGTTCAAGAACAATTTAATGGGTAACAGGAACTAATTTCCTGAATAATAATGTTGAGAGAGAGACAGAAAGTGGGAGAGTTATTTAGTCCCCAAATTAGCTGTTTTTATTTGCAGAGAGAAGTGGTACACAACTTCTGAGAAAGGGACTGGCCTATGTTGTCAGTTTCTTTCTTTCTTTTTTTTTGAAGATTTTACTTATTTATTTGACACACAGAGAGAGAGCACAAGCAGGGGGAACAGCAGAGGGAGAGGAAGAAGCAGGCTCTCCGCTGAGCAGGGAGCAGGGAGCAGGGAGCCCAATGCGGGGCTCGATCCCAGGACCCTGGGATCATGACCTGAGCCGAAGGCAGACGCCTAACCGACTGAGCCACCCAGGTGCCCCATGTTGTCGGTTTCTAAAAAGGTGTGTGATAGAATTCTAACTCTGGTGCTTATGGTGGACCAGAGGGAGCTGCCAGGTGGGCCCAGGGTTTCAGTGGGACAGCCTGTGCTAGACAGGTAGAATGGTCTGTGAAAGATTCAGGTAGCAGAAATCAGAAGGGACAAGGATATATGTTTTGCCATGCTCAAAACTGGGAGGAAGTCAACCATATTTCCTTTTCCTCATACTCTACCATGGCTTCCAATGCTCTAGGAGTCTCTCCAGGCCCATGACCTTACGGCTCAGCCCTACCATGTACTCTGCTCTGTCCAGCTGACACATGCCTCTTCCTCGTGCATTCTGAAGAAGACTTCTTGACCTTAGTTAACTAACCCAAAGAAGCGACTCTATTGCTGGAGAGTCTCGAGCCAGGCGGGAGGGGGTTGGGGTGCCCCAGCCGGCAGTTTGATAGCAGGGAGGTGGGGTGAGGAGTGGTTTCAGGCAAGATTTGGCAAGAGTGTGAATGTGCAAGAGCAAGGAAGAGGAAGGACTGGAGCTACATGCACCTGTTGAACCTGGGTGACTAAGAGGGTGGCAGTGCCACTAACAGGACGTGGGAACAAAGCAGAGGAATGAAGGGATATGGTAGTGCCTCCGCAAGAAGGCCAGATGAGCACGCATAATCGACAAGCAGCACGTGACGTTTGTCTTCACCTGGATACAAATGAGGGAGAGGGACTTGTGGATGGTTCCGTCTAGATCCTTGGCTCTATGTCTCTCACTTTACACCTTTTTACTGCACATTAGGTGCTTTGATAATGTAATGCCCTCCTCTCGTCTTCAGCATTGCCTCTATCGCTTTTGCAAACGACTGGAAACTTAACTCAACCAGGGAGAGGATCAGTTTACCTGACTAAGTAGTCCGAGGATGCCTTAACTCCAGGCAAAGCTGGGCTTTAATCAGGTGTCCAAGATGCATGCAGTTTCTCTTCCTTTCTCAGCTCTGCTTCCTGCCCCCCCTTCTTTTTTGCTTCATTTTTCAGGAGGCTTTTTTCCTTGAGGGTCTTGACATAATTGCCAGCAACTCCTAGTGGTGCCTACTTTCAAGTTTAACGTAGAGGAGAGTAGGAGTCTCCTTCTCAGAAATCTCAGGAAGAAGACAAAACCACCTGGACCAATTTCTTATATCTGTGCTGCACTAAGCATATGTACTAAGGAACCCTGTTCTCTCCTGTCTCCATGCTTCGGTTTATATTATCCTCTCCATCAGAAATGCTCTTCCTACAAATATCCAAGTCCTACCGTAGCCACCTCTTCCATGACGCCTTTCATGGGAACACCTGCCATACATTTCTTTTTCCTTTAAATTTTCATACTTTCTATTCAAACCTGCTTTATAGCACTTAGCATATTTCTTCCTTACAGGGTTAGGGTTGAGTACATGTTTTGCTCTTCTGTAAGATTTTAAACTCCTTGAGGGTGAAGTCTGTGTTTGACCAGTCTCTGTAATCCCCACACCTGGCATTGGCCTGCATGTCATAGATGCCTAATACGCTTCTGTTAAATGAATAAACAAATCAAATAAATTTTATTTCAATAAGGTATTTGTTAATTAAATGTATTTCTAGGGGCAGTACATAGCCTAAAGAAAATCTCACTCGGGGGGGCGACTGGGTGGCTCAGTCAGTTAAGCGTCTGCGTTTGGCTCAGGTCATGATCCCGGGGTTCTGGGATCAAGCCCCGCATCGGGCTCCCTACTCAGTAGAGAACCTGCTTCTCCCTCTTCCTCTGCTGCTCCCCCTGCTTGTGCTCTCTCTCTCTTTCTCTCTCTCTCTCTGTCAAATAAATAAACAAAATCTTCTAAAAAAAAGAAGAAAGAAAATCTCAGTAGGGGCCCTATTTTCCTCCTACTAACTCATTTGTATCCAGGTGGCCTTACACTAAAGTAAACATCAGGTGTAACTACAGAGAGAAAAAGCTATCAAAACTACAACCTACAACCAAAAGGAAGGTAAAGGCGCTGGGCCGTTGCCATGGTAACAATTAGCGGACCGTGTGGATTTGGAATGGATTTGAACCTTGGACCTTTTGTTGGTAGACTGGTAGGACAGCTTTCCTCTCCTTCTCTCCCTCCCTCCTTGAGCACAGTCTGAGTCAGAGTCTAGCCTGGGACTCAGAGGATCCAATTTAAATAGCTACGCCATAGGAATAGTTCTGTGAAACCTAACCAGGAAGCTCCCTTACCTGGTTGTGATGTGACCTATCAAACATTTCTGTTTATTTGATACATGTCATGTAAGCTTGAACAACAGTTAAATCCTGTTCCAACCTGCCCATAATCTACAGACTCTTTCATGTTTCTGTTTATTTGCAGAGCTTCAATCCGAGAACGCTCCAAGTCTCAGCTTTCTTACTTGGTACATGAACCTCCATTAGCTGTTGTAGATCATAAGTCTACTTATGAAGAAGACAGAAAGGTCAGGCACCAGTTGCTCTTGGGGATTGGAGGCAGTCTTTCGGGGACTATTGCATGACCTTTAAACCTGAGAATATGAGTTTTCAAGGCATATATCCAGTAATGTTCACTAAGTCAGATTAAATGGGAGAACCCATGAGGACTTGATGAAAACTCTAAATTCTATACAATATATTAAAAGAAATGCAGAGTAATTAATTACTTTAAGAACATCTGGTAACTAAAACTGGACTATAACATTTATTCAATAGTTTTTAGATGAACCATTGAAATAGACACGGGCAAATTACATGTGCTTAGATTATTTGATCATGTATGTATAATTTTAAAAGTTTTTAAGAATACTTGAAAATAATTTTTCTCAAATTTTTAAATCTCCTCCTTAAATTATAACTACTTTGGCAAAAGTGTTTATTCAGCAAAGGTATTTGAGAACGTTAGCCGTTACAGAAGTTATGATGATTTTTTTTTAAGATTTTATTTATTTATTCATAAGAGACAGAGACAGAGAGAGAGGCAGAGGGAGAAGCAGTCTCCCCGCTGAGCAGGGAGCCCGATGCGGGACTCGATCCCAGGACCTTGGGATCATGACCTGAGCCGAAGGCAGATGCTTAACCATCTGAGCCACCCAGGCACCCCAGTTATCATGATTTTTGAATGAACAGGTTTTATGGACAGTTGTTTACCTCACATAGTTTTACCATAATTTTTTAAGGATACATCTAAAACTAACACTATTAATGTTAATATAATCCAAAACAACACAAAAATGAAAGAAATAGGAGAAGAATCAACAGATACAACAATATTTCTTCCTAAGGATGCAGGTCCTCAAAGCTGTCGTGGGCATCTTACTTTCACAGCAGGTACCCATCATCTCCCTCCTCAAAGCCTTTCCTAATGCCTGCACTTTATTCTTCATCCTGAGAGTCTCACTTTCAATCCTCCCCTACTCTTTATTTGAAACTTTTCATGACAGTTTTCTTATTGAGCCTCATTTGGGGTCATGTTGTCTTATTCCCTTACTAAATTACAAGCTTCTTAAAGTTAATGACTATATATTATTTATGTTTGTATCACCTTAGGCCCTTAGGCCAGTGCCCTGTACCTATTAGTATATCAGGGGATTTTAAAACTAGGATGGAAAATTGAATTTCTACAGTTAAATAAGCTTTGATAAATCTTGTGGTTTGGGACACAAGATTTATCAAAGCAAGTAAGTCAGAGAATATTTCAATTACAAGCACATCTATTATGCATGATGTCATTTCAAACTGTCTTTTAAAAATGTTAAATGAGAATCTGTTTTGGAAGTAATTATAAACCTTTGTTCACACTGACAAATGTGGAATAGAGTACAGTCTTCCTTACGATCTTATGACTGTGACAGAAGGATTATTAAGGCTCTCTTTGTTCTAGCATATTAAGAATGAATAAATAGATGTCTCAATAGAGTTGGTTTAAATAAATTTCATAGAGAAACACTTTTTCTCAGGAGCAGCAGAGAGAAGAAACATATTTAGCAAGCATGATTGCTTACTGCATCTTGCCATTAAGGAGTCAAATCTTCTTCTAGATCTAGAGATAGGTATTTCATTCGTGTCCATGGTGCTGCCACTAATAGGGACAAGATGCCTTATATAAGGAGACTAGTAAAGCTTCACTGACAAAGAACCAAACACTACATTGAGATTTCAAATGTAAGAGTACCAACCATATTTGACTTTTGCATTATTTTTTTTTCTAGTTTCTGTAACTATTTGACAAGAAAAGCAAGAGAAAGGAAGGAAGGAGGGAAGGCAAGAAGGAAGGAAGGAGGGAGGGAGGAGGGGAGGGAAAGAAGAGAGGAAAGGAGGAAGGGAGGGGCGGAGGGAGGGAGGGAGGGAGGAAGGAAGGAAGGAGAAGAGGATCTGATTCTGTTGTTGCTGTTGAAACTGGCCGGTGGCCCAGCACAGCAGCAGAGATCAGATTCCCACTGGGTTCCCATGATGTGGAGGAAACCCAGAAGGGAACCATTTAAATAAGATGAAACCTAAATCAAATATACACACTAGTTTTAGAGAAATAAAAATGCTCCATGTAATAGTCTACTTACCAGTCTTGTAAATTAGAATGGAATAATTGAACAAAATTGAATGTAAACCAATGTAATGTTTAAAAGATGTCACTTCATATTCTCTCTCCAGTTAAGAGAGAAAAAGGAAGAAGGGGGAAAAAAGGGATCTTGCTAAAGCTCCAAGAAAATAAGGTCTTAAACTTATATTATTGCTGCTCATTTGTATGGTAACGATATCAGAGTTTTTAGATTTAAATTAACAAATTTTTTATTTAAAAATTTTTAAAAATGATTTTATTTATTTATTTGAGGGGAGAGGGGCTGCAGGAGAGGGAGAGAGAATCCTCAAGCAGACTGCACGCTGAGTGCAGAGACCCATGCGGGGCTTGATCCCAGGACCCTGAGATCATGACCTGAGCTGAAATCAAGAGTTGGACGCTTAACCGACTGAGCCACCCAGGTGCCCCAACTAATTTTTTAAAAAGAAACAATGGAATTAGGGTTGATACCATTTAATTTATGGAATTTCTAATCCCAAGTAATATTTTAAAGTACTTTAAATATGTAGGATATTCTAATCCCAAGTAGATTCTAAAGCATTTTAAAAGTTAACTGAATTCCACAAGCCCAACACTGGCAAAATTCCTTTCTTTTTCTCATTTTATGGAGGAGTTCTAACCTTAATCTGTTAATTGGGAAGTGTTCTATCTTATGTTGCCATGCAAAAGGTTTACTTACACAAAGGAATTATCTCCACCTTGTGGTCTCTTAAGAGTTTTGACTCTGGGCATTTAGAAGAGATGTTTGCATGAGAGGCTTGTATTTCCAGATGCTAAGTGGGGTTACGTGAGACCAGGTCTCCTAGTTAGCTGGTAACAGAGCTAAGACTGCAGCCTGTTTCTTCCCACTCTCCAAGTTGTGCTTTGGGCTCCCAGAAGTGAGTGAAATCTTAGCTATAATGCTGATAAAATTAAGTGGAGGATTAGGGGAAACCTACAGGCCAGAGGTGCCAGTTTCTGATATTGAGACATGTCTCTCAGGGAAACGAACAAAGTAGAATCTCTGGGAGTTCAAGTCAAATTCAAAGGTTTGAAACCCATCACTTCATCATGGCCAGTTTAGAAGATAAGGTCTAAGGATTGCTTAAGAGGACAGAAACAGGACTCTTAAAAATGACTCTCAGTATATGTCCATTTGGAGAACCTCTGCTCCTTTGTCATAGTTACCATGTCTTATCATCAAATCTTAAAGTCATTATTGAGGCAGGAGATCCCTATGGATTGGCACACAGAAACTAGTGTAACAAAGTATGGAACGCAGAACATAAGATTTAAGTAAGAAGTTATATTTTCACTTGACCTATAGGAGGAGGTGGAAGGAAGGAAACTGGGAAAAGCCCAGTGTCTACTACTGAACCATCTGCATAGTAGGGCAGCTCCGTATTTTTTTAAAATAAATGTTTCGTTGCATGTATGCACCATGGGCATAAGAGTTTCATTCATTCTTTCATCCAATAAATGTTGATCGTACATCTGTTGTGGGCCAGGGATTGTGTTATGGATGCAAAGATGAACAAGAGCCACGGTCCCTCTCCCTGCCCTGGAGTTGCTAGCAGGATACTTCTTTACATGTGATAAACACATATGCATGGTGCAACTTGACCTTGCTACAATAAAGGGAACATATCAACTTTTATAATTTCACCCCTCTCTGTGAGTTACTGGTTTGCCACAAATACAGGGAACATGAATAAAATCATCTTTAGCTTTTTTTAGATGACTAAATTTGTCTTTAGCTTTGCAAAGATCAAAGGAAAAAAATCTATACATCACGGCTTTATATTTTGTGTTCTTCTATTCTTCTACTATTCTTTTTTTAAAACTCTCCTACTTTTTTTTTTTTTAGCTATAGAATATAAGTCAATCAGAAGTCAATTACTCAGGGACAGATTTTCTAGTTTTTGCATCATTCAGGTTTGATGGTGCATCTTTTTGGGGGTGGATCAGAGGACAGTTTCCCTTGAAGTCTAACTCTAGTGAAAGGGGACAAAAGACAATTATTCAAATCAATTAAATTTTGCCTCTTGTTAGTTTATCTTGGAATGATATCTGCTGGAAAAAATCACTTCATATTATTTCTACATGTCTCAGGTATTGTTGCTTAAGGCTAGGGATACCTTCAAGAATCAGGTCAGGGAAATTTCTGTCATGTCAGGCTGTGAGTGGGCTGTTTCGTAGGGCAGTGGTTCTGGGAAATATCGGAGTTTAATGAGCCTGGATGGTACAGCACAGCTGACACTTTCCAAACCCATAATCATGGAATCCTAGGCATTCTGCTCCTGAAGGAGTCTTGGAGGTTACATACTGCTGGGAAACTCAGAAACTGGGCTTTATTACTAGAATTATCTGAGGAGTATCTTTTTTTATTTTT